GACAGTCGGCACCCTCCATGACCTAACCATTTAAGAGGCAGTTGTTTGAGTGAAAAAGTACAGAACCACCTATCAACTCAAAGGGCCGTGACTTCACGAACACTTTGTTTATTATTCAACTTATTCGACGATTGGAGACACAGGTTCAAATAAGCGAATCGGCGTGCTGTGAGCGTTTACATTTTCGTTAGATTTCTTGTTATACGCTAAATGACAACTGAAATATGAAAAAATCAAACGAATACCACAATAAAAGATATGGTTGGACTTGACAGAACTCTTAAATGGAACAGCATATGCGGTGGAATTTAGTTTGAAAATCTAATCTCATTAGTTGTAAAAGCTATTTCTTACACTGGTTACTCTACAGGACACATAAGTATAAAGGCAAAACAGTATATGCACAAAGCGACCCAAGTTATCACTAATCCTATCAAAATCGGAAGTCTATATTAGCAAGGTAAAATAAATTAATAGGAAGTAATGATGCAGACGGCACTGATGTACTGTGCATGAGAATTATGATTTAAAGCGAACGAGTAAAATCAGGTAAGAATAATATGGTTTCGTTTCTGACTTGAAGGAAGAGAAAGATTACCTAGCCTGAAATAAGCTCGACTTATTCTTAAGATCCGCGAGTGAAGCCAAGCTTTAAGAAACGACAAGTGTAAAATCTTTCCCTTCACACATGAATGTATATTTCATTCCCCGAAATATTCGATGACTAAGGGTATGGGCGATAGTTTTCACGGTCATACTTTATTTTTGTTTCCCTGTAACATTTAAAGAAAAACCACTGACACCATTTGGGTAACATTGTAACGTTGTGAGCTTTGGCTGAACTAAAAAAATTCTTTGGGAAGCTAATGTCAGAAAGCTAGGTGTTTCCTGGAGTACACAACTATATTTTATCTGACAGTACAACCTGATCTAACATCCACGATCACGGACGCTCAATTAACAGAAATAAAGTAATAAGAACGACCAGAAAATGAGAGGAATTAACACAGGCGACTAAGGATGGGCTCAAGTCAAAGGACTGATTATACTTATTGCCAGAAGTTGAAGTTCACATACAGCTCGAAACTAAGCTACGAAATTTTAAGACTCGTCACTGTATGGAATTCCTTGACAGACATCAGGTCTGTGGATAGCAGAATATCAAAACAAAATTATCATAACGAACAAAAGCATGAGATTCAATCACCTAAAGTTGACATGAGCAATTGCAAAAACACAAGGAACTTATATATGATCTAGTATAAATTAGTTGAACTTTAATCTGAAGTACTTGTCCTTATTTTAATGGATTTTAAAACACGATAGCTGACTACTGAGACCAACACTGTGATGCGTTAGCCTTACGCTAATAATTCACTGACCTGAAACCGCCAATTTTTACCACTTGGATGACGCGCTTTCCTAATTGATGTTCAGGTATTTGACCTCATTATTGTACTCTTGGTTAATATTTTTAGGTGATCATTCCTTAATGAAAGAACTGAAAAGACAAGAAGAATTTCAAAACCGTTGCATGTTGAATAGAAAGTAAACATAATATAACCTATGAACTTGAGGATTTAAGTTCGGTTTTAGGTTCGTGAGCTGAAGATACAAGGGAGAGTGGCGGTATCGCTCTGTAGCGGTAAATAAATCCCCAAAATAAATGACTCTGTAAGTCTTCGACATTGGATGCTGACCACATTAGTTTTAATGGACTCACCTAGCTGAAGGCGCTCGGTAATGCATCCGCACCAGATCACGAGTGAGAACGCCGTGCTCAACAACCCCTGCAATCGCTAGCCAGATTAAACGATCCTCGATATATTGATAACATATCAAATATATCTTCGAACCTTTTCACTTCTGTCTTTTGATTTCGCTTGGTGGGTACGATTCATATTAGGTGTTACTGGTTAAAGCGTTTTTAAACTCCGAATAGCTGTGGCATTTTCATTGATGAGCCTTACGTGATCTGGTATGCCAAATCATAAACTGTGAGTCTGTTCCTTATTGAAGTTTCACATATTGTTGCTTTATTTTCAGTTTTCATACATTGTGGTACATTTTTTCTTTGTTTTCGGATATATATTTTATTTTCACTAGTTCATTCTCGTACTTGGTATTTCACCATGACTGAGCAAACACTCAAGGTTCTTAAGTTAAAGACTATGTCCCCACCTTCGTTTCAACTGAAGCCCGGTTCTGCTACGCAGAAGCTGACTTTTACGAGCACTGCGTGAACGACACACGTCCACAATTCCCTGCAGTAGTGACGGCACTACCGCACAAATTCAACAGGTGCGTAACATCTAGTATGTTTACTAGTGATGTTTATGAACCTTACGAAACACTGAAACGATCTATTCTTAAACGCAAAGACCTAACCGGTCGACAAAGTTTAGACCCACTCCTTAGTGAGATCGACCTGCATCATGGTTCTGCGACAGACATGTTGTAAAGAATGAGAGAGGTTATAGACCAAAGAACCTTCGATGATGGCCTATTTAAAAAACGTTGCTTATCCAAACTTCTTTAACAGGTGCAAACTGTGTCGGTCTCGTTTCAAAACAAGGCCTTAAGTGAGCTGGCTGCACCATCAAATCTTCTAACGTCGAGGTTTTTTCAGTCAAAGAAAAACCTCAAGCGACACAGAATGACATTATGAAACAATGTCATTCGCTAACACACCTCACGGAGAAGTACTTCACGTAAGCGATCTGTTTCTAGACCACGAGAGTCGGATAACCCCGACTGGTGCTAGTGTCATAACCAGTATGGAAAGTCTTCCAGAAATTGCAGAAAGTTTTGAAATTATCCCAACTCAAAGCCGACCGACACGAAAAAGCAAATCGGAAAACTTGCAAGCCGGTGCACGTTAACGGAAACCGTAGCCGGCGAACATGGCCGTCTGTTATACGTCACCGATGTGATAACGAATGTTCGCTACATGTCGATACTGGCGCAGAAGTTAGAGTTCTTCCTGAAAGTTCCAACGACCGGCTTCGCGAATCACTTTCAAACTTACAAGTGGGCACATGATAGACCCATTCTATTAACCACTACTCAACAATTATCCTGGGATATACCAAACGCAACCGAAATTACTGTGTGTATCTAGCAACGTTACACGTCACACCACGACTACAGGATCACTTGTATTCTCGAAAGCACGCCGACTGGCCCCCGAAAAGCTGAGGTTGGCGAAAAACGAATTTGACCACATGACGGAGTTAGGAATCATAAGACCGTCAAACAGCCTATGGGCATCTCTGTTGCACATGGTCCTTATAAAGGGTAGCAACTACTGGTGTCCAATTGGTGACTATGGGCGATTAAGTGCGAAAACCATTCCCGATCGTTACCCCATTCCTTGTAACACCTTAGATTAGTTGGTTAAGAGTTGATCTCAGACAACTAAGCATATGTGGAAACAGCATAGGTCAAGTATCCATTCAATTCTTAATTTGTCTAGGTGTTATATTTCCTATTATCTCATTTAGAATGTTGAGAGGCTTTGTTTGTCTGAACAAATAATCTCACGCTCCACCGTAACTGCGCGAATATCTAAATAAAGACCTATTCACTATTTATCTGATTTCTTCTGTCAATAGCACGAGGGTTACTTAGAGGCACAAAAGCCTCACATTCACGATTTGACAGCTACCTTGAAAGGTACAACTATCTTTTCGAAAATCGACTTGGTCAAATCTTATAACCAAATCCATATGGCTACTGACGATATTCCGAAAACAGTCATTATAACTCTCTTCGGACTCTACGAATTTTTGCGAATGTCTTTCGGTTTAAGAAATGCTGCACAAACATTCCAAAGGTTCATAGACGACGTTTTCCGAGGTCTCAACTTCAGACATTTGTATGTTGATGACATCCTAATAGCAAGTACGGACGGAGAATCCCATCTCAAGCATCTGGATCTTGTTTTCGATTGACTACAAAAACATGGCATTACTGTAAACATTCAGAAATGCCAAATCGGAACTGACTCATTGGATTTCCTAGGACACACTATTGATGCGCAAGGCATTCGACGTCTTAAAGTCAAATTGGCGGCCATTATGGATTACCCAGATCCTACCACCGTCAAGCAATTACCCACATTTAACGGCCTTGTAAGTTTCTATAGACTATTCATACCGAAATGAGCGTGACTTATGAAACCGCTAACCGACCAACTTCGTGGAAATGCGAAATCCATCAAACTGGACGACACCGCGCGTAAGGCATTCTGCACAGTTAAGGAACTTATCGCTCAAGAAACAGTGCTTGTTCATCAGGACACGGAAGCTTCCATTGGTATCGCAGTAGACGCATCCGACTCAGCAATTGGAGGAGTCTTACAACAATGGGTTAACTACTTCTGGCAACCTATGTCTTTTTTCTCTAGACGGTTGCTAGACACCGAATCAAGGTACGGTACATTCGGTAGGGAACTCCTAGCTATGTATTGTGCTGTACGACATTTTTAACACTACATCGAAGGTTGTGAATTCACTCTTTTCACTGACCATAAACCACTCACTTTCTCTCTAAGCTCTACTTCAGACAAGTACTCTCCCCGTGAGTCTCGACAACTGGACTACATTTCGCAGTTTACTTCAGATATTCAACACATTTCTGGGGCAAACAATGTAGTTGCAGACGCGTTGTCCCGCATAACTTCCTTGAACACTTTCCAAGGAATCGACCTTCTATAACTTGCCCAGCTTCAAAAAGAAGACACTGATCTTCAGCACGAGTTATCCTCAACAACCCTTAAACTGTGCGTTAAACAGATGGGAACAGGTAAGGAAACCTTAATTTGTGACACGTCTACAAGTAGGGATCGTCCAATCGTTGCCCGAAACATTATCAAAGCAACGTCTTCAATAAGTTGCAAAAATTTCTCATCTAGGTGTTCGTGCAACGATCAAGCTTATAATAATAATAATAATAATAATAATAATAATAATTTATTCTCAAATAACAGTTTGTTACATGAGGCATGCCAGTTTACAGGCAAGATCAAATTGATACAAATGATACAATATACACTGCAATAAATTACATAGCTGGGTTGATAATTTATAAGATATGAATGTCGATGGTTTAAATCAGTACTACAGTTGGCGCGCTTCATGAAAGTCGCGTTGCGAATGTGCGACTGATGGTCAAGAATAGGTCCATTGAAGGTATGGGCTTCTAAAAATCGCAACCTTATTTCCTTCTGGGATATCCAAGGCTTTAAGGATGGTGCAGGATGAAGTCACCAGTTCCATATCTCAAGGGGGCTGAAAGAGGGAGCAAGTAAAAGAAAACACGAGAGACAGAGTAGCCAATATTCATGAAAGAATGCTTAAGGTATGATTACTCAGTCTAATTTTCCTTTATTAAGGTATATGTTAAGAAAGAGCATTTTAATAGGTTAAAAAAAATAAGTGTTGACAAGGTGTGAGTGGACATACAACTGACAAATGGGGGCGATTCGGAAAAGAGCTGAGAGTATAAGATTATGTGTGATTATAAAATAAAATATAGTGCTAGAAACAGTATTGTGATATACATTTGGCTGTCTTCCCTTTAATATCGAAGCTATTAGAGCCTCTTTCGTTTTTTTTTAAAAATATTTTTCCCCCAGTTATTATGGGGTCTTGATTAGGCTTCGTATATTAGCGAATTGTCTAGTTTGCTTGTAATAGGATTTCTAGGTAGGAAGTGATACCAATTCAACGTTCGTGACACGACTTAAAGAGGTATTTTGCGTGAATAGATCAGCTTCAATACCATAAGTTCGTGGCATCCCACTAAACCATAAGGAGCCGTAATTAAACAAAATGTTCTGCCCTACAGACATGGGTGGATTGAAGTTATCTCCCCACCTTCATGTTTGCTGGTCAGTAACGCCACCCTCCCTCCTTTTGTGATGTTAGGCTCTCTTACGTTTGTGGTAAGTATGAATACTGCTTTAATCAAAGCCCATAGTTGGAATACACTGTCTCTACTAGGTCCATGTTACAAGCAAATCAGATAGTTAAAAAACTTGTTTTATGGGTTAGATGTCCACATAGTATATCACACTGCTATGAAAATAACTAATGGTTTAAAGAAGTAAGGACTAATAGCAAATCAAAAGATATGAGAGGGTATAAAATTGTAGAAAAAAAAATTTCAGGGTAAGACAAATAAAACATTGAGAAACTCACAAGACGTTGTGGCCAAATTTTGAACTTTGAATGGTCGGCCTTAGTAGATCAGCATTCATAAGATTGAGCTATCTGTCTACTTGCAGTGGAATAAAAAAAAGGCATGACTTTTAGGAAGAATAATGTACATTTAACCTGTAGAAATTTGGGAACTGAAAGCTAGGGTTAGGAGCATGAAGTCATGATTAATAAACAATTAATAATAGGAAAGGATAAGCCATATGTTCTGTGATTTGGTTATATTCATATTAGTAACAGTCGGACTTGTTATAATTTTGTTCTTTCTAGATACTAGGCGGTCCGTAATAAAGTGCCTCATTGGTGGGCGGGAGTTCAAGGAAATGTTGAAGCTCTTTGGAGTCTAGAAATAGGGTTATTAGCCTTTTGAATCTGATAAACGTATCACAATTACGGATAGGCATTGGCAGCCTGTTCCACAATAAACTGTACCGTACTGTAAAGAACTTACAACGCATTTGTTTTTGGTGTTTTACGGTAAGTAGTGTATATGCGTTGTTTCTAAGTCTATAGGCTGGGTCGTGGGTAATAGTCGGGCAGGAGGTTAGAAAGGAGAGCCCATATATCGCTTTGTAGAGAAATATTAAATTGTTTTTTAGCCTACGGTGCCATAAGGGTTCTAAAGATAGATGCTTACATCTGTCTGTGTAATCAAGATTCGAGTTGCATCCTAGTAGTTGACGTGTGAAACGTCTTTGAACATCTTCTACTCTTGTCTTGTCTGTGATATTCATATTAGAGAATACAAAAGAGCAGTATTCAAGGGAGGGTCTTACACATATTTTGTAGAGAGTAAGTTTACCCTCTGTTGTGAAAACGTTTCTCATTATAAAGCCAATTAGCCGTCTAGATTTAGAAATAATAGAGGAGGCATGTTCTTCAAAGTTCAGGCTTCCTGTGTAATTAATTCCTAAATCGCGTACTGATTCGAGTGTTTGGACTCTACTTTCATTTAAGTGAAGTTGCGGTTTATAGGGATGCTTTCCAAAGTGCATGATCCCGCACTTGTTGAGGTTTAATGGTAATTGCCATTTTTCACTCCATATAGTTAAGTTATTGAGGTCCTTTTGGATTTGGGATACACTTTCGCTTAGTGTCTCAGGCTTATAGCTGTATACTATTTTGAGATCATCAGCATATAAGTATGGTCTTCCAAATTCTATGGTGTTACATATATCGTTTATATACATAAGAAACAAAAGTGGACCTAATACGCTTCCCTGAATGACTCCACTGGTGATTGGCCTAGGGGACGAGAGACAGTCATTGTACTTTACCATCTGTTTACGTTCTGTTAAGAACGAAGCAAACCATGAGTACAGTGGGTTGTGTATTCCGAAGGACTTTAGTTTGACGAGTAGCCTTTTGTGTGGGACCTTATCAAAGGCTTTCTTAAAGTCCAGGAATAGAACTGATACAAGGAGTCCGCTGTCTCGTTTCATAGTTATATCATTCAGGTAGTCTACTAGGCATGTATCGCATGATCTGGACCTAAGAAATCCATGCTGGGAGGTCGAGATGAGATTATTAGTTATTAGATGTTGTACTACAGCCGCCTTAACTACTTTTTCCATCACTCTGGATACCACTGAAGTTATGTTTATAGGCCGGTAATTTTCAACGTTTGCTTCAGGTCCTGTTTTAATTTTGGGAATGATATGTGTAGTTTTCCAGGCAGTGGGGTAACACGCTGAAGAGAGTGATATCGCGAATAGTTTGAGAAGCAAAACACACATATCATCACCTCCACGTTTTAGCATGCTAGATGGAATACCATCTGGTCCATCAGTGTATGAGTGTTTCAATGTACTGATTGCCTTGGAAATATTTTGTACACTGAATTCTACATTAGTAATTTCACAGGGAGGTACTGGAATTGGTTCTGAATCATTAAATGGTTTTTCGTTAGTTAGTGAGAAACAAAAATGTTCACTAAATAATTCTGTGACAAGTTTAGGATCTTCGTATACTTGTTTGCCTTTAATGAATATACTCCCTCTCGATTTAGAGCGTTTAAGTTTATTTTGGAGTAGTATGGTGAGTGCAGAGGAGTTATCATTAAGTTCAACTGCACGTTTTTCCTGTGCTACTGCTTTTTGTTTACTTATTGCCTCTGTTCGGACAAGTATTTCTGTCATCGTTACTAAAGAAGAAAAGTCATTTAAGTTGTGGAATTGAGTACAATGTCTTTGAAGACGTCTTCTTGTACTGACCGGTATATAGAGATCTTTGGAGAACGCAGGTTTACTGTATTCTAAAGGTGCGATGTTGTTGATGATACTTTTGATGTTGTGATAAAATATATTGGTTAATGTGTTGGTATTGTTTGAGGTAAAGTAAGTTCCCCAATCAGTGCTTCTTAGGTAACTGTGGAAGTTATTCCAATCAACCTTGCGATAGTTTCTACGAAGTGTTACGGTTTTGCTTCTATTGGTTGTGGTTTTTACATTAAGGCTGCATATGACAATGTTATGATCACTACCTGGGAACTTTTTTCCAATATACAAAGTATTGGGGATGAGGCCACTGCTAAAGACTAAGTCCAAGATGTTTTGATGTCTGGTAGGGCTATCGACATACTGAGTCCATTGTCCGAGCTCTAGACATTCAATAAATGATTCATAACGTCTCGACGCTTTGACTGGCAGCCAAGAAATTTCGGGCATATTGAAGTCACCACAAATGAGCTTGCCTGTGAATGAGAGGGATGATGCTAGTGTGAATACCTCCGATAATACTGCTATATCATCTATTGATGCGTTAGGTTGACGATAAACACAGCCGAGCAGTAAGGTAACGGAATTCGACAGCTTTAATACAATCCACACCGAATCCTTCAGTTTGTTTAGTTCAGGCATATCACATAGTAATGAGTTTAGGCTAGAGTGAGCGTAAATAAGGCATCCTCCGCCTCGTCCATTCAATCTGTCGCTTCTATATAGGAAATAGTTATCACGAGATATACTTTGGTCGGAAATATTACTGTTAGTCCATGCTTCAGATATCATAATAACTGATGGTTGATATATGGATACAAACAGGGCTAAATCCGTCTTTTTGTTGCAGATCGACCGAGCGTTGATAAGACATATATTAAGCAAGTGGCCTACTAAGTTAAAATGGTTGAGGGTATCTCGGATAAAGTCGACGTAACCCTCGCGGGTGTGAGATGAGTTTGAAATGATGGATTGAATGTTCTTCATTAGCTCGGTATTTTGATAACTAGATTTAGTAGGAGATGTATCAAATGAGCTAGTGAAGTTGATTGGGGAGTTTACCCAGGAGGAAAGGGTGGGAGTACTCTGTGATGGAAACTGTACGGAGGAAACAAATTTATGGTTTGCATGTGGTTTGAAATAACCTGGGCTATATGCTTCAACAGAGGTGTCACTAGGGGTCTTATTCCAAAAAAATCTTGTACAGGCCTACTGTGAAGTGTATGGTTATTTACAAAATAGTCTTGATGGTTAGACTCGTAGCCTCTGTTATGGCTATTTACGTTAGCGTGAGAGGGGTCTGCTACGCGTAACTGGGAGGAGTTGCGACTGTTGATATACGTGGGAGCCGTTGTTATGTGAGGGGTCGGTAGTAAAGGGTATGACAAGTTTTCTTTCTGAGAGTAATTACAGTTGCGGTCCTGGGGAATGTAGGTAGGGTGTGGAGTGAGAAACCTATTATTACCATTCGTATTTATGGTTTTAGGCTTCAGGGGGTGATTTGGGTGGGCAGTTCTCCGGTAGTTTTCACTAGTCTGTGTGTAAGAAGGCTTGCTACGTTGAAGCCCACCACCCATTTTGCAACTTGGAGGTGCTGAAGGCAAGTTATACGATAGCAGCGGGGAGAACCTGTTCACTGTTCTTGGGATACCTATAGAGCAGTTGGGTTCAATCTTACGTGTTTCCCTATTCGGTATCATGAGTTTTGTCTTCCCACCCTTTATCTTCAGAGCTGGAGCCTTTCGTTGTCTTTGTGAGATGAACTTACGTTCGTTCAAGTCTACTTGTGGAATATCTTTAGGAGGACAAATTTTCAAGTGTATAGGTTTAATTGGATGTGTGTTGTTACACGACTCACATTTTAGTACATTACTGAACGAACAGCTGGAATTAGTCATGTCGTTATGGTTTTTGGTGTCAGTTGGGGTCCGTATCTTATCCAAAGTTTTCTGATCTGTAGACTCATCTAGATCAACAGAGTGATCAGCCGTATGTGGAGTGGTGTCATGCTTATTATTCGTGTGTTCTAAACTATTTGCTGTGTTGCAAACTGTCTCAGACTGATTATTAACTGTAACACTCCCATTCAATTCTATCGCTTCGCGTCTTCTTACACGACGTTGACAGGGCGTAAGGTCTGGAGTGACTTTTATATTTTTGTATGGAATTAGTGAGCTAATATTTTTGCTCGAATTAATAAACTGCTTAGCATCGTTACAACAGCCAAACATAAACAAAATGGGGCAAGTCGATCTGTCTGACTTTTTTCTAAGGCGGATGACTTTGCAGTTAACGTTCGGCATACCGCATGCTCTAAGGCAAATATCTCTTAGCTTAGATGGGTGTGTGCGGTCGGGAAGGTTATACACAACTGCATTGAAGGAGGACATCACTCTCTTCGTCACTTCTTCAGCCACAAACTCCAAAATACACTCAGCTTTAGTGAGTTGCTCAAGATTTCTATCTGTGTCAAGGCCCCATATATGAGTGAGGGGTGCTAATTTCTCAAGTTTGCCGTTAATTTCGGATAGAGAGTTTTGCAGCTGTCGGATTTCATTACTATATCTATCAGTATTTTGGTGTGTATGAGGAGGACCATTGGACTCTTTAGTTTTTGAAATTTTAGACTTAGGCCTTGGTAGCACATATTGTCTAGTAGACTGAGCTGACTTTTCGATGCACGTAGGTATAGTGTCTTGTATGTCCACCAGTCTTACCGTTGGCATACCGCACGTAGAGATAGAGGGGCTGCGACAGGGAGAATCTGGTGACGATAGGGACATTTGTGTACAATATACATATTTTTCAGTAGTTAAAGGTTCGACATTGTCAAGCACTGAGTCGTCAGTTGTAGGGGTTACAGATTTGGACCTTTTATTTGGCTTAGAAGTTGGTGAAAATCGTCTTTTAATGGAGTTATTGGACATGATTTGAAAATAAGTGAGCACAGTGCTCGTTAAATTAAATATAATATCTGAGTATTAGTTGTTATTAAGTATTAAACTGATTAATACTAGGATTAGAGACTATGAGTATATAATAAATTGCAGATCTATTAATGATTTAAGTCCGCAATAGGTACAATACGAACTAATAATTGTCTGTCGAATAAAAATAAGTTTTTTCCTTATTTTTCACAGTAAGATGTACCCGATGTACAGGATAAGATGATAATCACAGTATAATACACCCTACAAAAGAGCAAGTCGAAGAATTCCTAAACCACGTGAAAAGGCACGGTTTAAACGTTAGGTCCTTTTGAAATGTGCCCGCCCTTTCGTTTCAGCGACCTTGAACGGCTTGATTAGAGGCGGTCATTCCGTATTTCAATTGCCGTGGGTTGGTTGGTTTGCATGAGTATCAAGTTTTTTCATATATAAGTCATCCTATGCTACATAAAAAGCACGAAATAAATAGCAAAACCATTAATTTAGCGTTCTCTGTTTTGTAGTGTGCACTTTGGCTCTGTTGTTGCTTTGTAATTTGATCTTTGATCCCAACAATTGTAGTAAAGCTAAACGAAATGTCAAGTCACAGGTAAATCTCAAGTATTTGTAGTATTTCCTTGGGTTATTATTGTTGCAAGGAATAACTGTTTAATAATTAGTAATGTCTGTTTTTAGTGCTTCATCCATGGAGCAATGGAGCAAAAACCAATTTTGGTTTATCCGAGTGGGAACCTAATCCAGCTAACACTATTACGACAGTCGGCACCCTCCATGACCTAACCATTTAAGAGGCAGTTGTTTGAGTGAAAAAGTACAGAACCACCTATCAACTCAAAGGGCCGTGACTTCACGAACACTTTGTTTATTATTCAACTTATTCGACGATTGGAGACACAGGTTCAAATAAGCGAATCGGCGTGCTGTGAGCGTTTACATTTTCGTTAGATTTCTTGTTATACGCTAAATGACAACTGAAATATGAAAAAATCAAACGAATACCACAATAAAAGATATGGTTGGACTTGACAGAACTCTTAAATGGAACAGCATATGCGGTGGAATTTAGTTTGAAAATCTAATCTCATTAGTTGTAAAAGCTATTTCTTACACTGGTTACTCTACAGGACACATAAGTATAAAGGCAAAACAGTATATGCACAAAGCGACCCAAGTTATCACTAATCCTATCAAAATCGGAAGTCTATATTAGCAAGGTAAAATAAATTAATAGGAAGTAATGATGCAGACGGCACTGATGTACTGTGCATGAGAATTATGATTTAAAGCGAACGAGTAAAATCAGGTAAGAATAATATGGTTTCGTTTCTGACTTGAAGGAAGAGAAAGATTACCTAGCCTGAAATAAGCTCGACTTATTCTTAAGATCCGCGAGTGAAGCCAAGCTTTAAGAAACGACAAGTGTAAAATCTTTCCCTTCACACATGAATGTATATTTCATTCCCCGAAATATTCGATGACTAAGGGTATGGGCGATAGTTTTCACGGTCATACTTTATTTTTGTTTCCCTGTAACATTTAAAGAAAAACCACTGACACCATTTGGGTAACATTGTAACGTTGTGAGCTTTGGCTGAACTAAAAAAATTCTTTGGGAAGCTAATGTCAGAAAGCTAGGTGTTTCCTGGAGTACACAACTATATTTTATCTGACAGTACAACCTGATCTAACATCCACGATCACGGACGCTCAATTAACAGAAATAAAGTAATAAGAACGACCAGAAAATGAGAGGAATTAACACAGGCGACTAAGGATGGGCTCAAGTCAAAGGACTGATTATACTTATTGCCAGAAGTTGAAGTTCACATACAGCTCGAAACTAAGCTACGAAATTTTAAGACTCGTCACTGTATGGAATTCCTTGACAGACATCAGGTCTGTGGATAGCAGAATATCAAAACAAAATTATCATAACGAACAAAAGCATGAGATTCAATCACCTAAAGTTGACATGAGCAATTGCAAAAACACAAGGAACTTATATATGATCTAGTATAAATTAGTTGAACTTTAATCTGAAGTACTTGTCCTTATTTTAATGGATTTTAAAACACGATAGCTGACTACTGAGACCAACACTGTGATGCGTTAGCCTTACGCTAATAATTCACTGACCTGAAACCGCCAATTTTTACCACTTGGATGACGCGCTTTCCTAATTGATGTTCAGGTATTTGACCTCATTATTGTACTCTTGGTTAATATTTTTAGGTGATCATTCCTTAATGAAAGAACTGAAAAGACAAGAAGAATTTCAAAACCGTTGCATGTTGAATAGAAAGTAAACATAATATAACCTATGAACTTGAGGATTTAAGTTCGGTTTTAGGTTCGTGAGCTGAAGATACAAGGGAGAGTGGCGGTATCGCTCTGTAGCGGTAAATAAATCCCCAAAATAAATGACTCTGTAAGTCTTCGACATTGGATGCTGACCACATTAGTTTTAATGGACTCACCTAGCTGAAGGCGCTCGGTAATGCATCCGCACCAGATCACGAGTGAGAACGCCGTGCTCAACAACCCCTGCAATCGCTAGCCAGATTAAACGATCCTCGATATATTGATAACATATCAAATATATCTTCGAACCTTTTCACTTCTGTCTTTTGATTTCGCTTGGTGGGTACGATTCATATTAGGTGTTACTGGTTAAAGCGTTTTTAAACTCCGAATAGCTGTGGCATTTTCATTGATGAGCCTTACGTGATCTGGTATGCCAAATCATAAACTGTGAGTCTGTTCCTTATTGAAGTTTCACATATTGTTGCTTTATTTTCAGTTTTCATACATTGTGGTACATTTTTTCTTTGTTTTCGGATATATATTTTATTTTCACTAGTTCATTCTCGTACTTGGTATTTCACCATGACTGAGCAAACACTCAAGGTTCTTAAGTTAAAGACTATGTCCCCACCTTCGTTTCAACTGAAGCCCGGTTCTGCTACGCAGAAGCTGACTTTTACGAGCACTGCGTGAACGACACACGTCCACAATTCCCTGCAGTAGTGACGGCACTACCGCACAAATTCAACAGGTGCGTAACATCTAGTATGTTTACTAGTGATGTTTATGAACCTTACGAAACACTGAAACGATCTATTCTTAAACGCAAAGACCTAACCGGTCGACAAAGTTTAGACCCACTCCTTAGTGAGATCGACCTGCATCATGGTTCTGCGACAGACATGTTGTAAAGAATGAGAGAGGTTATAGACCAAAGAACCTTCGATGATGGCCTATTTAAAAAACGTTGCTTATCCAAACTTCTTTAACAGGTGCAAACTGTGTCGGTCTCGTTTCAAAACAAGGCCTTAAGTGAGCTGGCTGCACCATCAAATCTTCTAACGTCGAGGTTTTTTCAGTCAAAGAAAAACCTCAAGCGACACAGAATGACATTATGAAACAATGTCATTCGCTAACACACCTCACGGAGAAGTACTTCACGTAAGCGATCTGTTTCTAGACCACGAGAGTCGGATAACCCCGACTGGTGCTAGTGTCATAACCAGTATGGAAAGTCTTCCAGAAATTGCAGAAAGTTTTGAAATTATCCCAACTCAAAGCCGACCGACACGAAAAAGCAAATCGGAAAACTTGCAAGCCGGTGCACGTTAACGGAAACCGTAGCCGGCGAACATGGCCGTCTGTTATACGTCACCGATGTGATAACGAATGTTCGCTACATGTCGATACTGGCGCAGAAGTTAGAGTTCTTCCTGAAAGTTCCAACGACCGGCTTCGCGAATCACTTTCAAACTTACAAGTGGGCACATGATAGACCCATTCTATTAACCACTACTCAACAATTATCCTGGGATATACCAAACGCAACCGAAATTACTGTGTGTATCTAGCAACGTTACACGTCACACCACGACTACAGGATCACTTGTATTCTCGAAAGCACGCCGACTGGCCCCCGAAAAGCTGAGGTTGGCGAAAAACGAATTTGACCACATGACGGAGTTAGGAATCATAAGACCGTCAAACAGCCTATGGGCATCTCTGTTGCACATGGTCCTTATAAAGGGTAGCAACTACTGGTGTCCAATTGGTGACTATGGGCGATTAAGTGCGAAAACCATTCCCGATCGTTACCCCATTCCTTGTAACACCTTAGATTAGTTGGTTAAGAGTTGATCTCAGACAACTAAGCATATGTGGAAACAGCATAGGTCAAGTATCCATTCAATTCTTAATTTGTCTAGGTGTTATATTTCCTATTATCTCATTTAGAATGTTGAGAGGCTTTGTTTGTCTGAACAAATAATCTCACGCTCCACCGTAACTG